TTTTTTTTTTTTTTTTTTTTTTTTTGACTGATGAAAATTTGCGTTTCCCCCTCCAATCTCAGTATTTTGGAAGCGTGGTGATGCTGCTGCCTTCACCTTTGTCCTACATTTAACATTAAAGTCGCTGACTTGTCGAGTTCCTGTGCAGTAAAACAACAGTCTGGCTCTCCCTCACCTCAACACAGTTGAAATACTGACATTAATCTTGAACTGACCCAAAGCTTCAAACAGCAACATGACAGTAACTTTAAAGTGCAATTATTGTGCTCAATTTCATTCTTGGACTATGCTAAAGGAGCTTTGCATGATCGCTTTTTATAATAATCCTTTATCTCACAGTTCCTGCTCCGTCTGAAACGAGCTGTTAGAAAAGGTTTTCAGTCTCTGTGAGTCTGCAGAGCTTTGCCTCAGCTCACCGACAACCAGCAGCCCAAAGCTTTCCAGCAAACTCCATCGTGGAAACGCTCATCTGGCTTTTGTTCAGCTTCACATTCAATTTGCATGTACAAACTCAAACAGCCTGCAATTACCTGAAGGGCCAATTAGATGCCAAAATTAATGATGTAATTGTTATTAATGATCTGTCCTCCATCTTTACCATATCAAAGGGAGGTTCAGTCAGTGGGTCTGAACACTCACATCAAACAGCTTTCAATCTGTGGGCATCAAGTACAAGTCAGGGCTTAGGTTTAAATTCAAACCACCATCGATATCCGTGAGTTTAAGGTCATTTGTATTACATCACACAACTTTATTAGTTTATGTGTGATGATGTGTGCCATCCAGACAGTGTCACTAATGAGAGCAGAGAACAATCAGGATGGATTTTCCCCTCATTCCCGACATTCAGCCTGTTAGCTTGGTGCCATTTAAAGTCGCTGACAGACACTCCTGACGTTCCTGAGATATTTAACCTCATTTATGTCTGTTGTTAAGTGCACAGTATTGTTGTTCAGCAGCTGCAGATTCAAACAAAGATGAAGGATTCTTGAGCAAAGAATCTTTGATTAAATTGATCTGCTAAAGGAAAGAAGTACCTTTTAAAGAGTTATCGGTTTAACAGTGAGAGGAAATGCCTGTGAACGGTGCTGTAAACACAAGTTTACATTTTACTATAAACTGAAAACTCGGCGACAGAAAAATCTTGTTTTTACAGTGCTGATGTAAACTCACACAGGATGAATTATTTTAAAGCTTGTTTATCACTGTTTGGTGTGTGGGTTTTATTTATTTATTTTTTGCTATGACAAGAAGAGAGGGAAAAAAAGTCACAAACATATAAATTGTGTCTGTTTCACTTATTTCATTACAAAAGAAAACCCTGAACTCCCTGCGTGGGCTGTAACACGCAAACACGTCATCAGAGCCACGAAGGGGTCCATGCAGTGTCTGAATACTGGACACCAAATATATCAGTAAAAGTATATGTCATCATGTCGTGGTAGCAACAACTGATTGGTTGTTAGTCTGTGTGATCAATCATGAAGTTTAACACTGAAATCAGGATTTAGAAAAGCAACTCAGTGATCATAAAGCAGGATGAGGTTTGTTTTTAAAATTCAGATTTGAGCAGAATTCCAACAAATGTGCAGTGACATTTGACAAACACACAACTGCCTGTTTGACTCAATGGATCATTTTGGATTTGTGCTTTTAGTCAGATCTTCTCAAGCTTCACGTGGTGGTGGGGAAAGTACCAGAGGAACCAAAACTGTGGAGGTTTGGTCCAAATGAAAGAGTCGAAGTGAGTCTCAAGCAAAGAGTTTAATGTATAAAGAGCATTAACAGGAAATGGTAAGGCGTTCCAGTGACTCGGACAAACTCTGTTATCTGTTTTTATGTCCAGATGTTGGAATATTGGGAATGAGCAGAACAGAGCTCAGAGTGACAAACACGGGACTACCTCCTGCCTTCCATCTGAAGTCGGGATGATGATAATGATGAGTATCCATTTTTATTTTATTTTTTTACATCCTCTCAAATGTTTGATGGAAAAATCGTCCACACTTAAATGACCCGACAACAGGAAAAAAATCCTCTCCTCTCGTTTAAAGTCACAAGCAGAAGGTCAAAGGTCAATCCCGGTCTGCTCACAGGTCCTGGACTTGACCGGGTATCACGTAAAAGTCTGCCGGTGTATCGTGTCCAAAGGGCATCATGTCCAGAGAGATTTCGGCCTCGCACTCGTGCCGCAGGATGGCGGGCAGCAACAAGTTCCGGCGGTTCCTGGAATCACCGGAAATGGCCGAAACACTATCGAAGTCGCGCTCGAGCTCCGCCGGCGCACCGCACACCTCCTTCTGCAGGGTGGTGTCGTGGTGGGACGCCAGCTCGTTACTGAAGTCCACCGCCTCCACCGCCGAGGTGGCGCAGTAGCGGCTGCAGCCCAGGATGGTGGAGAAGGCCTTCCGGAAGTCTGCGTTGAAGGCGTAGATGACCGGGTTCAGGGACGAGTTGGCCCAGCCGAACCACACGAACACGCTGAACGTGGTGTCGCTGACGCAGGGCGGCGCGCCCAGGCGCTCCAGGCGGCAGAAGGGAACCATGCAGTTGAGCACGAAGAACGGCAGCCAGCAGAACACGAACACGCCCATGATGACCGACAGCGTCTTCAGCACTTTGGTCTCGCGGCGGAAGGAAGTTTTCAGAGAGCTCTCCTCGTGCGCGGAGGCGCGGGGCCGCCGGTGCACGGCGCGGCAGCCCCTCTCTAGCGACGAGATCCGCCGGATCTGCGTGCGCGCGATGCGGAAGATGCGCGTGTACGT